AAAAAAAAAAAAAAAAAAAAAAAAAAAAAAAAAAAGAAAAGAGAGAGAGAGAGAGGGAGAAAGAAAAAAAGTCTCATATTTCCCTCACTTTTCCGAGGAATATCCTCTGTTTGGGAAGTGATGCAGGAGAAATCGAAAATAGCCAATTTAATTCACCTGAATTACTGAGTTTTAAAAGAAATACATCATCACGCTAAAAAAAATTACATAAGAACTTGGAAACCTCCACTCTCCGCTCACCCCATTTCACTCCGAGTTCCCAACAGCATCTTTGTAATAGCTGAGTACTTTCACTTAAGGGCGCTAAATTGAGATTCCTCTTTAATGGCTAAACTGTAGCGCTTTACAAGCCACGTTCTCTGTGTGCTTTAATCCACTGGGATAGTCAAGAGGAAAAGGCTTCAGCTCTTTTCACAGGAAAAAAAAAAAAAAAAAAAAGACACAACAGGAACATGAAAAGCCCCTCACTTATCGTATGGAATTTCACTTTCTATCAAGTTAAAATTATTTCTAAAAGTTGGTCTCCGTTCCCGATTACACTCATGCACAGCAGGGCTGGCCAAAGCAGGGGGTTAATGAGTTAAAAAAAAAAAAAAAAAAAGAAAGAAAGAAAAGCAAGGGGGGAAAGGAGCAGCACTGAACAGTTCAAAATCTTTGGCTGTCTCTAGCAGCCTCGGTTCTATGTTGATTTTTAACAACTCCCTAGTCCAGAGAGGCCAGATTTCCAGGCACTGCGGCGAAAAACACAATTATGAAAAAGAAAAACAAAAGTCTAAAATTTGGTCCTAAACAATGGAGCGCCTTCTTCTATGGGAGCCAAGTCGCTTAAAAAACTTCCTTTTGTGAAGAAAGCTGATGAACTTCTCCCACATCCCTCCCAGCCTGCGACCTGAACAAATGCGCAGAGCCCGCGGTGCAACGAGCCTGGTTTTGCACGGCCGCGTTAGGAGGAAAGATTCTTCCTCGGAGACACCGGGGCTATTGGAAACGAGACCCACTCGTGTAGATCAAGAGACATTGCAGGGTCTGCATTGCCCCGGTTAGAAAATAAGTTTAGAAGCTGCACAAACCTAAAATACATCCTCGAAGCTGCCTGTGCTGGCTGCAGCACGGCCAAGTGTCTCCACGAGAGTTTCGGGATTTGGGATCTTTGGGGGCAGGAGGGAAGACGGAAAAAAAAAAGGAAATAAAAGCAAATAGCACTCATCGATGACTAGATTTCCTTTAAAAAAAAAAAAAAAAAAAAAACTACTAGAAAAGTACAGCTGTAAAAGTAGGAAAGGATTTGCATAACCTACTGCTCTGTAGGTCTCCGTGCACCCAAAGGATTAGCCGAGCATTCATTACCATGAATATCTTGAATTACGCTACCGATTTATACGACAGAGTATAAAATACTGCACAAGAAGACCTTTTTTTTTTTTTTTTTTTTTTTTCTCCCCTTGCGAAAGGCGCCGACTTAACCACTGCTTGAAAGAGCTCTACACACTAAGGAGTTGGTTTTTTTTTTTTTTTTTTTCTCCCCTCTCTTTACAGTCCCGTGAAAGTCAGTCACAGCAATTCAGTTGCTCTTTAGGACTAGCTTTAATCTTGGAGGAGGAGATCCTCTAGGAAAAAAAAAAAAAAAAAAGAAAGAAAAAGAAAGAAAACAGAGAAAAAAAAGAAAGAAAGAAAAGAAACGGGTCTGTTCCGCGGCTCCAGGAGGATTTTAAGCGGAGCGCAACTCCGGCTGGAAGTGGGAGAGGGACTTTTGTGCCCGTTGTCCCCACAGGGGCTGCGGCTCCGCGGGGCTCGGCGCTGCGGAGCGCGCAGGACTTGCCCACTCGCCAGCCCTCCGCGCTATCTTTCTTTATATGTGAGGGCTGATTTCCCGCAGACATCATTGTTATGATGGCTCATTTAATCAAACTGTTTAATTGCTCCGGTAATCACTATCATCATCACAGGTACTCAATCATTCATCATTTCGGAGGGGTTTATTGACCTCTGGAGCTCATTCCCCACGCCTATTAAAATCAGGCCGAATTTCTAAAACTGGCCTTTGAGTCGCTTTCTTAAAGTCTCTCTCCCCACCACCCCGCCAAAAAAAAAAAAAAAAAAAAAAAAAAAAAAAAAAAAAAAAAAGGAAAAAAAATCATCACCATAATCATGAAAACAAAACAAAATAACCCCCAGCTGAACCAAAGACTATTTTTTTTCGGCGGTGCACGTTCAAAAGCCACCTATGTACGAGGCCACACTCGCAACCGGGTGCATAATCATTGATAAATCCAGCTATTAACGGGATAGTCTGGTTTAGATTTTATGTGCAGGGGACCGTGAACGAGGGTGGGGGGCTGGGGAGGACAAAACTGCCGCGATCGATAGTTTGACCATCGCTCCTCCCCCGGACTTCAAGCATCGCCCGTGATTGATGATCCCGGGGCGCTCTGGTAATTGCGAGGTAAGGGCGGCTGCAGCGCCCCGCGAAACGCGCCCAAATTAACGCGCCTCTGCTTGGAAAAGTTCATTTGGTGCCCAAGGAGGGGAGCGGGGAGGGGGGCGGGTTGTGCACTGGCTCACGTAATTTGCTAAATAGCCCTCCCGTAATTAGCACCACCATTAGACGGCATTACCGAGCCGAGGCTGGGGCGGGCGCTGCGCGGGCGCGCAGCAGCAGCCGCGGACGCTCCGCGCTCCGCTCGGGAAGAGCATGCAAAGCAGCGAGTCCCCAAGTAACTCCCCCTTCCCCCCCGCAAAACATCTGGCTGTGCCCCACGCGAGGCTGAGCGTGACTTTGTTTTCAAGCCCTTTGCACAGAACTAAGAGGGATTTCCCCCTCTCCCCCCCC